GCCCGTGGGATTAAAGATGAGATCGCAAATCATATGACCAAAGCTCGAGGAGCTTTTGCTAACATTCGCCACCTATGGCGGCGGCGCGACATCACACTCGCCGTGAAGGGTAGAGTGTACAATGCAGCGGTACGTTCGACCTTACTGTCCGGTTGCGAAACCTGGCCCCTTTGATCAGCGGACATAAAGAGGTTAGTTACGTTCGACCACCGGTGCCTTCGCAGTTTGGCTCATACATGGTGGGAACACCGAGTGAGCAAAGAGCGTGTTCGATGCCTTGCTTACGGCACAGAAAAAGGAACTGAACCGCTCAGCACCATCATTTCACGCACCAGGCTCCGATGACTGGGTCACGTGTTGCGCATGCCAGCCCACGGACTCCCACAATGTGCGTTGTTTGTGCGCCGGCGGTGTGGATGGAAGAAAAGAAGGGGTGGCCAAGCGATGACTTGGTCGAGAGAAATGAAGGTCCTCACCTCGGAGCTGGCCTCGGTTGGAGCTTCACGGCTCCCTGGTTGACGGCCAAAAGACGATGAACACGTGTGGCTAGATATACTTGCTGACATGGCTAGGAGCCGACCTCCATGACGTTCCTGCTGTGGGTTTCTTTGTCCCTCTCCATCCCTTTTAGCCTCTCCCTCCAACCACGACCTCATTTAGTAGCATAATATAATTTTACACAATAATTTTGCTTGTTGCCTAGTAGCCGGCTGGTAGCTTTCAGGAACGATGCCCATCCGTTGCTGGTAGCTCAGCTGGCATGCAGCTGTTGTATTTATTTTTTTTCTTTTATTATTGTGGCACAGCAGCTGAGGTGTTTTACACCTCTACCTAGCGTATATAACGTGTGTGGAGTGAAGCACATACTAAACGAAGGTAACACTATAGAAGTTATCCACGATTGACAGAATCGCGAATGTCCATATACTCAAGATCAACAAGTGCTCCACCAAGTAGCACCTATACGCCGCATCGCGAGATCCCGTAAGGGAACAATCCATGATGAAATGCACCACAAAGTTAAAAAGATGGGGAAATGAGGCAACTCGGGCGAACGCTACTTGTTGTCTCGAAAGCATTTGGCAATTATATCTGCTCGGGAGGCCTTAACGAATTTCAACAGTCTGCTCTTACATTTGACTACTGCGCATGAAGGCGGACACATGTGGACAGCCAAGGGATAGAAAGATGACTAAGGGTCAATAAGGAAGTTGGCAACTCTACTGCTTTTTAAAGTGCTTGAACCGATGTTCCAAGTCTTCTGACAAATTGTGGACTGGCTGCCTACTCTCGACGTATATGGTCTATTGCTGCCCGTTTCGCGCATCAGATGAAATAACTTCGACGGTTACCAAGCGCAGCAGCCATTATCATATCCGACGCACGATGAAACCACCAGGATTCGCGGTCTCTCTTCCGGCTAACACGGAACTTTGCCCTAAGGTATTTGTGAGTCTTGTTGTGTTCGCTCCTAGCCGGAAAATGTCGGTGAGCATCCAGAAGTTAAGAAAATGCTGTAGAAACCCAAAGCGCAAGTTCATAGCCAGAGTTGTCACATGAAGGCATATCTGCTGCTAATAACGTCTGGCGGATATGCGACCAATGGCCCTCCACCGTGTTCAGTGAGCACTTACTCAATGCGTTCACACAAATGAACCATAAGATCAGCACATAAAGTCCGTGGTCGGAATCCACGCTTGTGTTCCAAATTGAACGGCAGTTTTTGACACGGCCTCTCCTGCTGCAAGTGACCGCGATGTGACTGATTTGCGTCCATGGTTGGTGGGTGCCATGTCACCCGCCAGTGGGTGCTGTGTCGAAAGCTAATGCTAGCGACAAACAGATGAGTGCTTTCACACAGGTGCATCAACCGCTCAGTGTTATCATTACGGGAGTTTACACCGTGTTGGCCGCCCAGATGCAGCCCAACAGTGGACAGTAATCCAAACTGGGAGTTTAAATCACCCGAAAGCAGCACAGTAACTGTACCTTACAGGTGACAAAGGAGATCGTTCAGGTATCATCTTTGAGAGTAGTAGCGAAATTTATAGCTTTTGGGAAGATTTGTCGCAGCGAGACCCAGCCAGAGAGCCAACACATATCCATGTAAAGGCTAGACAGCTGTTACGTCCTTCTGGGACTCGTCATCAGCGCGCACCCACCATATTCTGTCACACCCGAAAGCATAACCTTACTCTTACGAGTCAGCGAGGTGTGTCACTGAGCCATAGGTGACGGCGGTGGGCCGTGATGACTGGTTTCTAACTGCGATATAGCGCGGTTAGTCTTTCGATGTTAGGTCATCTTTCACTGCGTCCGTGCTATAGCTGGTGACGGTATAGACGGCAGTGACAAACAAGCATTGCTTGTCTCCGTGCGATTTCGAAGCCTTGGAAAAGCGAGACAATATGATGCCGTATATCCGGTTGTTGGTTTGGATCCAATCGATTAGAGCAGCTTCAGCACAGAGGATCAGAGAAACGCCCACGCCGACTTGACCGGCAGTTGAAGCTGTGACGTATCCAGACGTACGCAAGGAGAAGGTGGCGCCAGAATCACAAATGGGGATTCGCAGAGTGAACACAGAGCTCGAATAATGCGGGCGGGTTCCCGAAAACCAAGAGATATCGAGAAAGTGCTGTCTGCTGGCCAGTGTGTAACAAGATGTGCATAAGGAAACATGGCATTCTTAGTGAAGATCGAGGACTCCACATAGAAACAGATGAAGTGACTTTGTCCGCTTGGCTGAACGTAGACTCGTCAAGTGAACTGCAGCGACGCCCGGTGATTCCATGTGAGTCGAAACTAGAAGGTAAGTGACTATCGAAGCATGAGGGAGAGCCGATAATTGGGCACTGAAAACGAAGAGTATAAAAATGAAGTTGAAAGGGGGCGACAGCTCTGTCTGCACAAATGGACGGCCAGTCGTCCCATTTGGGCATGCTTTTGGACACTCGCAGAGGCAAAAAGGAACATGAAAATAAGTGGTGTAATACGTCCAGGTGTTACCTAATATTAGTATGAATCTATAACACCGACGTAATTTGCTTTCACTCTTTAGTAAAACCGTGATTCAAGACAGCGCGAGTGACCGTTGGAGTGCCCTATGTGACCGCCTTTCATGTCCATGGCCGTCCCAGTTGGATAAACTTGGGACGAATTTCGGTCACTGAACAGAATTTTCGCTTAGCCGTGCGGCTTTGGTAATGTGGAATCACAAGTTTGGAATTGATTTCCACTTGTTGTTGACGGCAGCTGTAAGCAGACGAAGTGTATTCTCTGTGTGTGCCTAAGAGTGTGCTGGAAAAGTTTTCTGAGTGACCGAAATTTGTCCCAAATATGTCCATCTGTGACGGCCAGGGACATGAAAAGCGGTCAGTTAAGGCGCTTTAACGGTCACTACAGCGGACATTTTTCGGTCACTCGTGTTAGGTAGGAGGGATGAAAAAGCGTAAGATTGGGAATAAGAAGACCAGAAGGCTTGAGCAACAGCATCCAAATCCTGTAAACCCTGCTTGATGCAGCAGGTGGGGCGCCGATTATTATCTTCTGCGACGGCCAGAGCATCAATAGATTGCTTGAAGAGAATCATTGTATGGTATTGCGTCGGTAGGATACTATCGGGGTGCCTAAGGCTAGACAGGAGAACAATTAGGGTTCTGAATTAAAGCTTCCGGTTCAAGAAACCTGACCGCAAAGCGGTGGGATTTTTGCATTGGACTACATAAAGTAGTTTTATGGAGTAAAGAACCACTCTCACTTCAACCCATAAATCGCAGGGCTAGAAGGTTGGGTTTTTCTAACCGCTAACGATTGACCATCCTGGTATGAGTGGCCCCGAAGGTGTAAAAAGTACCACCCAACATAACTTAATGGGTCGTTGAGGCACGCAAACCATTGTACCATGTTGAGGTCCAGCATCGTCGTGATGGGCTGATTATGACGCTGTCCCTTCGATGCTACCTTATCTTCGCAGGATAGCCAGCTATTGTGAGTATTGTGATAACATGCGGGAAGCTTAGTCCTATATGTTTGTCTAAGATATTTTGGCTCTACAATGGGTCGCAATTCTTTTCCTTCATTACTACCTGTCCCCTAGGTCATTATGGTTGTACGACAGGGAGTATGGATCCAAAATGATAACAGAAACTCTAAAACCCAAACGAGTGTACAAGTAACTCGAACATAAGACAGTACGAAGGGTTGAGAGTAGTTGCTTACAACCTGGTGGTGAGAGTTGCGATGCAAGTATTCACCAGGTGAAGCGAAGTAAACACATAACTTGCGACTCAACCTATGTTTCACGTGTCCACCGAGAGTTCTTCAACCTCAATGAAAAGTTACACGGTGAAGGCCGACGTAAGCAAACGACCATTGTGATACCCACGAAATGGCCAAATTCGGTAAAATAGTACAAAACATGGTTAGCAGTTTTCCGGCTGAGTAAGCTGGTGCTGCAAGAAAATGGCTGCCGTAAGCGTATTCGCGAATGCAGCGTCAGGTATGAAAAAAGGGTGTGCTTATGAGTGGACATAATGAAAGAAAATTCCTGATAACGACCGATTAGTCATGTCGGAAGTGAGCTACAGTGCTGAGTTCATTTCTGTTCTGAGACTAAGATTCCCTGAAAAAGCATACGTAAAAGCTTCTAAAGAACAATCCTGAGGTTCTCTAAAAAACGTGCTCTTTGATACACTATTGCGCACGCAGTGCGCTATTGTACAGTGGAAGATCTAACGAAGCGGTTAGCTGAACACGTTGAATGCATGGAAGTGGCCTCTAAAGACAGCAGCAATCATGGAAGTGAAAGGCTAGGAAGGCTGCAATGCAATGAGTGCAATACGCTGGAACAATTGGTAAAGGCCACAATCATTCTGTAGTATCGCTAACCGTCAACAAGAATGATAGCAGCTAAACTTATGGTTCCCCTACAATATCGTGAAACACCAGTATAACAGTTTGTTGGACAAAGGATATAACAGAACAAAGGAAAACGATACCTGTCACAATAAAGCAGAATGTGCCGAGGCATTTCGCCATGCGGAACGGTTTCTGGAGACTCCTGTAATTTCACGGTCTGAAAATCAACACACTGGCATTTGTCAGGCACAATGAAAAACGGATCAATAGGGCACTTGGCACCGACGCCGCCAGCGGTTTGTGCAGCAGGACACTTGCGAGGTAAGGTATAACCCCCAAGACCAGGTTTCACGGGAAGATTTGGCAAAAACTGGCGGCAGCCGCGGCACTGGAGACTAAGACGAATAGCCTACAAGGTAAATTAATCAGGTGGGTTACTTTGGCTCTAATGCCTGAAGCACTAATTGCGATGCCCGAAATTTTGACCAAATGAGACACCTGTTCGGATCTGACACAACGGAGGCTAACAGGATTTGCTTCCCACTCAATGAGAACTTGAGCGGGTTCCGTTGATTCATTTTCACCTTCTTCAAACAATTCGCCAACGATCTCAGTAACTGCCTCTTCGAGCTGAGACACAAATAATCAAAAGAGCATGGAACATACAGTTGATAGATAATCAGCAGGACGAGCGACAAGCTCTTGAGTTAAGGAAGAGTCGAAATTATTTAAATCCTTTAGGTTGATAACGACGAAGTGTTTCTGCAACGTATAATTCTTTTTCAACTGGTCACTGAAAGAATAAACCATGATGTGAGGTGCAGAAGAACTACCGATATTTGAAGGACAGGCCCCCTTCGTTGAACTGACGGATAAATTCTTTAAATTTCCTTTTCGCGTGATTAAGATTTACGACATTATCCTGCTCTCCCGTTTGGTTGAATAAGCTGTCTGAATAGTAGACGGCACCCAAGTCGAAACCAGACATCAGCGAAAAGTGTACTTAAAATGCAGTGATGATTCGAAGGGGAGTTGGAGCAATCACAAAGAGCTGAAAAAGAGGAAAATCGCGCCATGGAGTCAGATGATAATACAAGTAAGCCCAGTGAGATGAGGGAGTAGAAAAAAGCGCTATGCAGGCAAAATGAGTGTAGAAATGTTCACGAAGCAGAGGTCAAATAAAGGTGACAGAAATATCGAAAGGATCCCTGTGGGTCGTTAAGCCCTGATTTGATAAAGTGCACCAAATGCGAGATGCACTTAGATAAAAGTCGATACCAATGCAAGAGAAAACAAACTGGGTTATACATGAGAGTTAAGTTAAGCAGGAGAGGTTAAGTGCTACTGCACAAATCAATCTACGGACGGTCCGAATCCCTAGCATTCCCCAGAAGCGAGTACCAGAAGTCGAGAACATGGTGCAACATGACAATTTGTGTTCAGATCCAATAAGAGCGCAGTTTTCGCAGCTTCAACAGATAGCCAGAAGATCACGTGCACTAGTGATAAGGAACAGAGGATAAATCCAAGTCAATCTTCCAAGGAAGGCGGCAGGGATGCGCCGGTAGGTAGTACCGACGCTTCGTTACCCCGCAACTACCACCAGTCGCACGTGGACTAAGGATACTGCGAGGGTCGCCCGGTCCTTACGCAGGCTCAAACCCGCGCCCTCGGATTACACGGCACGCTTGTCGTCCTTAAGGCTACGGTGAGTCAGCCCAAAATGAGCACTGTAAGGATTAAGTCCTCCAAAATTATACGAAACTGCGGGCGACTTCGCAGTACCCCAGTCCGTGCGCGCGCGACTAGGCGTACAACTTGTGACAGGGAAACGCTGGTACGGGATACTGGCGTTTCTGATACCCATGTATAATTCTTAGACAGCAAATGCTAAAACTAGGCAATCGCTCAGGATAAGTTTATCAACGCAAGGAATCTAGCACCAGATCGAAAAACCTCCATTTCCATCTCGCCTAGAGTTGCATGAAACCTAGGAACAGTTACAAATATGCTGATAAATCAATGAGTTAGCTACAACATATGAAGTCCTTTGAAACGGGCTTTCATCTAGTCATCAATAGAAGGAAGAATCGAAGAGTACACTAAACCAATACCAGCCTAGTGAGCAGCAGGGAGAGTTTTGTTCTCGATAAGCATAAACATTGGATATGGAAGTGTTAATCTGATACGAAGGACGAAATAGTTCACCGCGTTCATAGAAAATAATCATGAAGCAAATTAATCGCAAGGCTTATCAGCGGCACGACGAAGTACCTCAGCACCTCCAGGGACTGATATGTGAACTTGTTGCTTGTTTAAAATAACCTTACCATATTTCATTTCAGCTTACATACCTCATTTGTGTTGAATAAAGCCGAACCTCCTGAACGCATACCCCTCGCACTAGTAGTATTCTTTCTCATTCAATTCCATTACAAGTTATTCAGCAATCAATGGATCGAATACTCCGGGCAGAGCTTTTGAAGCTAATCCCAAAAACCCGAACTTGGCGAAACTGTGGATCTACTGGTTTGACACCTTCGCTTATCTTTTAGACACCGTCGATTTACTGTCTCCCGATGTATATGACTATATTAAAGAGTGCAAAACCGACGAATTCGCCACCAGAACTATATAGCAAGTCGGAAAACGAGGTCTTAACACGTTAGGTTCTAACTACTAGTAAACAACAAGTGAAAGAAAGTTTGGACGACTTCATGCAGAAGTTGAAATCACGGGGACAGGATTGTAACTTCAAAACGGTCACGACAGAGAAGAACCGCAAAGATGCCATTCGAGATGCGTTCATAACAAGGTTTCAATCTCAAGTTATACGTTAACGTCTTAGAAAATATGTCATTCGATCTACACACCGCTTTTTAACAAGCCTGATTCCTTGAGATAGTCTATTGTCAGTCACACATAACAATCAGAAAGCCCTTATGGTGCATATACCGCATGTCAATCAGAAGCTTTACAAGCGTCAAGTGTCTCATTAGTTCAAAGTAACGAGTGCACCGCTACTGGACGGAATAGCAAATGTTCTTTTTGTGGGTTCAACAAACGTAGGTGATCTCACTATCTTGCGCGCAACGCCATTTGCAACAGTTGTGGAAAAAAGCCATAACCAAGAAAGTTGTCGTTCCGCATCCAAAAATAATGCTACGTGCTCCATGGTTGCCTATCCTCTAGCACGCTCGCAGAGGCACCAGAATAGCTTCACTCACGCAGACACCAACGTATTCATCTACGACAATCCTCCAAAAGCTCTGATTGGTACTGGAAGCACTGAGAGATACATGGCTGCATCAGTTGTCAAACGGTTCAACTGAAAGGTCCTTGGTTCCCATTGCAAAATTTAAATGATTAGCACTCACTTAACTGGCTTCACCAGTGGTTATTGTCAGCAACGTCAGCAACAACAGCAGTACACCAGCCATTTGAGCAGATGCTTCGCTGCTGTACAACCACAACGACCAATGCAGCGAAGAGTAGTAAGAGAGAGAATATGGGGTCTAGCGGAAAACCTCTTGGCTTAAACAAGCATTCAGGGTCGAGGCGCCTACAAAACGTCACAAACAACTAGCTAACGTGCAAACATAAGGCGGCATCAGCGAGGCAGCTCCTTGTGGCTTTCATTATCACGCATCATAATCAACCATTACCCCGCAGATAACTTAGCTCTAAACACACTTTAAACAGGCAGCCCCACCAGAGGACAACACACGCGCTACCGGTGTCGACTGCGAGCTATATTCCGTAAGGTCTCGAGCCAAGCACAAGGCGAGTCACGTGAACTTCAGCCTGGAAGGCGAGACGGACCAACGGCACCCAGTCTGGCTGTCAGTGATTGCATTTTCCCACTGTCTAATTCACTTTTGCCCATCTCGAGCCTTGTGACATCCCACATATGTCAAACAAAATAAGACTCTTCTCGGTAAGCGGTAACCGGGCATACGTAGTACGTAACTTATTCAGTGCCATCTGTTGTTCTAAGGAACTGGCTTGATTATCATTACCTAGTATTCGCTTACGCATATCATCGTTGCGGACACGTTGGTACCACCTGACATCAGCAATGCTCCGCAGACAGCGATGATCAGAGATTCGAAGTCGATGAAGGTCCAAGGATCGAAGGGGCCAAGTCTCACTTCCATAGAGAGTACGAAGGCCTTTCATCATCATCATCACCATCATCATCGTCGTCATCATCATCATCATCACCGCCACCATCATCATCACCATCATCATCACCATCATCATCATCAATACGCGTTAGCCGAAGGTAGGAAACACATATCAGCTAATGGGCCGCAATACAAAAAGGTAAAAGGTTAAGCAATGTAGGCTTGAAACTTAGCGAAAAGTAACATAATGCTTATGTCACATTTTGACTTTTTTTCTAATCGAACGGAACCCATTTCTGACGTCACAGATGCAAGACAGTTCTGGATTTTGCAACACGTGAACTGACTTAAGTGCATATGCGCTACTCGTTGCTAATGCAGCTGCCAAGCTAAGGGAAGTGAGCAACTACCTCGAGTGCATTGCCCTCAAGGGTCACGGGGTCAAGTGGTTGGTGCTCCAGTAACAACACGTTGCGTTTTGAAGGTGCGAAGCGCATGCCAAAGGATGGTACCACTCTGGAGAGATTATTCAGGGTTGATGGTGCCATCCCGACATTGGTAAATAGCAAGAAAATATCGTCCGTATGATCAAGATCTACTAGACTTTCACCAAGCAGAACCTCAACGCTTGCATCGTGAGATTCCGCAAGGGAACACTCCATGATGGAGTTCAATACAAAGTTGAACACAAATGGGGGAACTGAGCAACCCTGACGAACGATACTTGTCAGAATGACATCCGTTAAGTCCCTGTAGACTGACGTGGCCTGTCGTGTTCGAGTATGGAGCATGCAAAATGTTCACATATTTCATGGGAACATTTCTCGGCGCAAGTACTTCGAGCAAAATGCATCGACCGACCGAGTCAAACGCACTCCTGAATTCGAGGAACACAGGTACTGTCGGCCTGTGGAGCGCTGTTCTAGCACCTAAAGCAAAGTGAATATGTGGTCTAGGTAGTCACATCCAGGGCGGAAACGTGATTGCCCTTCCCAAATCCGGGATTCCCGTCCCGTAGTGAGACGACCAACGAAAACTGAGGCAAAAAGTATAATCGTTCATTAACTTATTATACACCTTGGCTACTGTGTCGCAATACATAAGACAAAAACACATGTGCACGCCAGCAGAGCAACCAGTAACGGATGGGCATCGTTCCAGAAAGCTACCAGCCGGCTACTATGCAGCAAAAAAAATTTATTATGCCAAACTTGTATTTATTAGGAGGAGCACCTCCTAACGAATCGACCGGTGGCGCCTGTTTTCGACGAGAGCCGAAGAACTCTGCCAAGATTTCTACAGACAGCCTTGTTTAATAATAAAAAGAATGTTCCTGAAGATTATGATGTTATTATTGGCAAGTAAGGAAGGAAAAGGAAAGAATATTCAATAAGATCGCCCAATACCTATAAATGTAACCCGCATGGTCCACGTTTTGTCTTGTCGTTCGGTGAATAAACGGTACAAGGGTCCGACATTGTTGGTTCTGTCGGCCAACCCGGGGCAGGGGTCTAAAAGGCAATCGGAATGAAACCGTAAACTTAGCAATACAGAGGCCGACGGTTCGCACAGCCAATCGGAGTGAAGCGATGGTCTTAACAGTATTATGCTAAAAATGAGATCGCGGTTGCAGAGGGAGCATAAGAAGGATGAGAAGAGAAAAAGAAACGCATAAAGTGGCTTGTCATCCAGCAACAACACTTTGCACTTTGAAGGTGCGAATTGCATACCAAATAATTGGACCACTCTAGACAGGCTATCCAGGGTTGTTTGTGCAGCCGTAACATCGTCTAAAGCAAGGCGATATCGTCCGCATAATCAAGATCAACTAACCTTTCACCAGGCAGCACTTCAACGACTACATCGTGACATTCCGCAACGGAACACTCCATGATAGAGTGCACGACGAAATTGAGGAAAAATG